AATCAGTTATTGATTTGGGGATGTATGGCGGGTGGGCGGCTGCCAAACAGTGTCAGTTCATCAACATGAAAACGCTTTGACGAAATTTTTTCAAATTTAGATATGTTGTTTCCTGTGACTAAATGAAGGTCAAGTTCAATTTTCATGATTTAGCGCTTTTTGTTGTTGAGTTGTAGCCCTTTCCCAAGAATAATTTTTGATGAAATTCTTATTAATTACTCCATTCTGTTCAAAGGGAACTAACTCATTTTTAAAAGATTTTTAAAAGACATTGTATGAATGATAAATCACATTTTGGATTTTTTTTTCTTTTCTTTGGTTAATTGTTTAAAGAATTTTGTGATAGGTTTGTTTGTTATTCTGTATAAAGTTATTTTCTGAATGCTATATACATAATTTTTGTTTGATGAAGTGATTTCCTTTAATAAGTTGATAATCTATTTTTATTAAAGTATATATTTCATTACATTACATTGTGTAGATGAAGTTGTTGACATTGATAGATAAGTTGCAGATCTATATTCGTTTGTGACAAATGAAAGAAAAAATATTTGGAACTATTAATTATATTTGATTATAATTTGAAAATAGATATACATTGTGAAACATCATATCTAATTTAAGAAAATAGTTGTTAAATCATAACTAATTTTAGAGAACTATGTGTTTATAATTTTTTCAGTTTGAGTTATTTCCGTTTGAACAGAAAATTATATGGATAAAATTAAACTGTGTTTCATTTCAACATAAATTAAATATATATAGGGTTCTTTCAAATGCTGAATCTAAACCTGTATTTAAAATAAATATTAGATTTTTGGGCCAAGCTTTCAAGTTGGTCCAAATCAGGGTCCAAAATTAAACTGTGTTTGATTTCAACATAAATTGAATATGTATGGGGTTCTTTGATATGCTGCTTCTAACAATATACTTAGATTTTGGAAATTGGACCGTAATAGGTAAATGTCCAATTTCAAATTTTTCAGTTCTTTGACCACATTCATTTTGTGTCACAAACCTATGCTGTGTCAAATATTCAATCACAATCCAAATTCAGAGCTGTTTTAAGCTTAAATGTAGTGTCCATACTTGCTCAACTGTTCAGGGTTCGACCTCTGCAAGAAATTCGGTTTGTTGTCACTCTGACAGCCTCTTGTTTACTATAATATAGGTATTTCAAAATTAAAGTTTTGTTTTTTCCATTGCTGTTTTATATTAATGAGGCTAATATTATTTTAATTTGATAACTTAAGATTTGATTTGAATTTAGGATGTAATGAAATGTAACAAGTTTATTACAAACGTAACATTATTTTGTTAAAAAATTAACTCAAAAATAAAAAAAAAAAAAACCAAACAGAATTTTTCAATCTCAGTTGTAAAGTAGTATTTTGAAAATATTGACCCAAAATCTAAAATGAATATTGGGCAATGAAAACTGTCAATCAGAGCTCTGATGCATCTTAGAGAATGTTGAGACAAAGGAATTTCTTCATATTTTGATTTCTGTTAAAACATTATAGGATATGAAGTATTGGTTACCTTGAAGTTACAACACATTCTCGGTTCTTTGTAATTGAAGCATGCTTTTTAATTATAAACATCACTTTATAACACATTCTGAGAATTAAAAATCAAATAAATTATTTAGCAGATAAACATTAACACCAAGCTCCTGATTTATTTTGATACACTTAAAGTAACAAAAGCAAATTATTTTTTTTGGCTAAGTTTTTTTAACTATGTAACTCTGGTATCTTTTTCTGAATTTATCTGTGATAGAGAATTTGGTTTGCCAAAATTATAAACAGCTGTTTTCAAGTTCAAACACACAAAAAGTGTTTTATATAAAAAAAAGATTTGAAATAGATATTGTGTTCTGTCTTTAAACATTCCCCATGGCATGTGTGTGTCTTTAACCAGATCAAGAAAATAGATTATAGATTTGTTACATAATGGAAGCATAGGGAAAACTGAATGAACATGTAAAAATGAAAAGAAATATGATTCATATTACCCCCTGGAGACATGTGGGGCCCCTGATTTTTGGAGGGATAGCTAATTGCCTGTAAAATTGACTGGATTCACAGATTTGTGTCAAACTTAGTTAATGGATGTGAGGTTATGAGAAAACCAGAGATATATTTTTGCAATTTGGTTGTGTGCAGGTTTTTGCATTTCCTGATATGAACAGATGCATATCAATAATTAAGGAAAATAATTTGTTAAAAAAACCTTGATTTTACCTAATTGTGCATTGATGTGCATTTTATGAATGGATTTATGACCCATTTCCACTTTGTTGACCTGAATTTACCATTGTTAGTGAATGGACTGTATGATTGACAGGGTTTTCTAGACATTGTCCTCACTACAGTAAAATATGGGATTATTTTATGATTAAAATTATGTGTGTGGGATCTAAATTTGAACAATTCTAATGATAATTTAGTTAATTAGAAAATGGATTTATAATAGTAGGAATATTTCATGCTCTGGTGGATACCATTGTTTGATTATACACTTTGTGCTGGATTTAAATTTTAAGACAATGTGATTTCAAAAGATTATTTGGATAAATGAAGAGAGTATGGTTGTAAAAATTCCTCTAGAAATAATGGGGACGAGGATTATAGATTTATTGGATGGTGATTTTGTCCAGTTCCTTCAAACACTTGATTGTCCAAAGGTATTTTTAACTTACAATAAACGGCATGGTAACCAATTTTTTTTTACAGTTACACTGCTGTAGCTTACAGCTTGTTTATATTTTAAGATACATTTGAAAGTTTGTATTTAATTACTGACTTGGAATTTAAACACCACATTCTTTGAGAACTATGTGAAATGTTGTTTTAGTCATGTTCATTACATTTATTATATATCTGAGTCATATTATTCTAGATTTGACCTTTTTTAATAGTATCACATACAAAATACGGTTATTAAAACATTAAAAAATGAATGACAACTTTTTTACCCCGTTTTCATCTACTGTTATTTCAGATATTAATTACTGATTTGTTTAAAGTAGATGAGATCTTGACATTTATATATATTAGTATTGAAAATAGTGTAGATTGTCTCTAAATTCATAACTCAAAACCCCAAGGGTATGAACATGTAACATTATGTTGTGGTTGTCAAGACTTTCCCCAATATTTTGATTAATGAGCAAAATATGAACAAGCTGTACATATATATTCTCATACCAGTGAGCTAACAGTATTTTGAAGTGTTGTCACATAATGATCTGCAAAAGAGGGGGATGTTGAGAAATGAGATGAATCTATTGAATCAATTATTAAGTAAAATTACAGCACATCTTCTGGATGAATGAATTATGATTTAAAACTCAAGGTCATCTTTAAATTATTTCCCTTTTTTTTTCCAATTAATCAATTTTCAACATTTTTATGAAATCATGAAACAATTAGATTTTATGCTTATTCCTTAATGTACAACTTGGTAATGTACATAATGTACATAAGGTAAAACAAAAATATACTTTAAAGGGTCATTAGCTACGAGATATAAAAAAAATAAAATAAGATTTTTTTTTGTTCAATCAATAATGAAAGTGAAATAGTGAAATAATAATTCTCTTATAACAACCAGTTTGGTTCAGTTTTGTCAAAATAAGCAAAGAAACATCGCTAATGAATTATTCACTTGCAAGTGAATAATTTGACCTCATTGAATCCGTATTCATGTGAACTTTAATTGATTCCTATAGCTATAGATGGGTTATGCATGACTAGGCATGTTCAGTTATTAAATGGAAAAGAATGTAACATTGGAAGTGAAACAAGGGTAAACCATTTGGTTGACTGATTCAATCTAGAAAAACTCATTCTTATACAGGTAAAAAAGATTATTAACATATTTTTTTAACCTATAATATGAAATCAAACAGACCTAGAAAAATCCAACATGAACTTGACAGCTAATGCCCCTTTAATGAAATTAAATAACCCTTTGTTTGATATTTGAAGGACTGGTCAGTTGTTGAGACAGATAATAAATGCTTGTCCAGTCTGTGTACAGTAATAAATTAACCTTGGCTGTAAACACTATTTAGTATACATCAATGGTCAAGTATTGAGGGGCTCAGCAAGGGAGAAACACTGCAAAATGTTGATCATTGAAAGCTTGAATGGAATATTCATTTCATTAATCTGATTAGATATACCTCAGTACATGTACAAGGTATGATCAAACTCAAAATTGTATTGCAGAAAAAAGTTTTCCCTTGTTCTTTTAATCTGCTGTTCTTTGGTAGGTCTGGATCTAATTTTATCCAGCTGTGCATGTTATGATTGCCTAACTTTACAAAACTAGGTGTTGAATTTGATAAGATTAAATTAATCCCCCAAGAGATAAACAGATCAAGATTGTATATAATCAGAGATTACAATTTCATTTAATCCTGTTGAGAAGAGAAAATAAATATGCAAACATAGAATTTAGATAGTTTGAAGTCTTACACAACTGTTTTAAGGTAATGAAGCATGTCTACTGCTTTTGTTTAAAGATAGAGTTCTGCAGTAGACATTGTAGTTACTTCTAGTACATTTTGAACATGCATTAGCATATTCATTTTTAAAGGTATCTTTAAATTCATTATGCTATTGTAGTTTTTATTACAAGCACATAGAAAGGGAATATCAACATCAAAAACACATGCACTTTGTACAATAGGGATATTTGCTGCCATAAACCTGGTTTAACACTGCATTTCAAACGGAAAATTCCTAAACTTTGTCTGGAATATAGCAGTCATATGTAATTGTGTCTATCTGTTAGTGTGTAAGTGTGTTCCTTCTGTTTTGCACTTTTTTTCTTCTGTATAATACCATAGAGTTTAGAAGATTCATTGTTTCTAATTTTTTAAACTTTGTCAGCTCTGCTCAATATCATGCATGACCATACATCCATAAAACCCAATATTTTTTACTTAAATTTAGCATACATATAATTATTTATTTTTATCTTTTCAGCTTCTGTCAGAAATTTCAGAACTTGAAGAAAGAGGTAATGAGGACATCCTCGAAGATACAAACAAAAACATCACAAACAGAAAGGCTGTAAACAGTCCACCTTGTAGTACTCCGTCATCTATCAACAGCAGAAGTCCTTGTTTACAGAGATCGTCGTTCTCACATAGATCACACAGCCTTCCAACTACTGCTCTGTCCCATCCTGGAAGTAGAATTCTGTATCGTAATGGCTCATTCATTATTGAACCTGATTTTCCAGAGGAAATTGATGAAGATAACGAAACACATAGTCTTGACATTGAAAATGGAAATGTGAATAATAGTAACACAATGGGAAGGGATTTGATACAAGACCGGACTAACTATTCTAAGTGCAAGCGGTCACAGTCAGAAGCAGATTTGTGTGACGTTGATGACAATTTGTTTTTACAGAATGACGGAAATTTAACTGTAATTGAAAACGAAAATGCTGACATCCCCTTACATGGTGCACAAACAGAACATGTGGATGATTCTTATACTCAGCATTCTCCTATAGAGCAAAATGAATTAGTAGATACAGGAGTTGATAACAAGAGAAAAACTAGGTTAAAAAAGAAGTCTCGATTAGCTGCTCGAAGAAGTAGAAGTTTTAAGGATTTTTCTGAAACAGAAAAACCTATTGTTGCTTTACGCAGGAACTTAAGTTTTGTTGAGGCAATAAAGTATAAAGAAAATTTAAATATTCAAAATAGGAATGGTAGCCTTCAGAGTCTCAATTCAACTACCAGTGTTGAAGAATCTCCTCGCCATGACAGAAAAATGTCTTTAGATGATACCAGAAGCAAAAGTCAGGGGTTCTTACAGAAGGTGTTTGCTCGACGAAAAGGAAGTCTCGATCAGGGAGGAAAGAAAAAGTCCTCAGAATCAAAGGAGTCAATATTATGGAAAATGTCTTTAAAAACATTATTTGGTGCCAAGAAAACCAAAGAACAATCTGTTGAAAAGGTGCTTTGTGAAGAACCACCAACTCCACCTATTGCTGCCTTTCAAAGTGACAATGATATTCATATAATGGATTCTGCCCCGGGATCACCCTATTCTAGTCTAAGATTTAAAAGGCGTCATACATCTGCTGAAATTTACGATCAAAGTGGTACCTCTTCTTCCAGGAGCTCATTAGATATTGTAAACCATCGATCTCGTTCTGGTCGTTTTGATGATCAACTAAGCGTAAAATCTTTCAATTCAAGTAATCTGTCTATATCAGAACAACCATTACGGCCAAAAAGTCCTAAACCAAACGTGACAATTGTTCGTAGAAATTCAAATATAAGCTTACCAAGTTCACCCACTAATGAAGTGATGTTTGATATGGGTGGAAAACTTTTAGAATCTGTTCACAGAAAATATGACAGTATCGATGCGACAAAGATAATAAACGGCAATAACTCAAATCACTATGCATCTGCTGATGTCCCTACTCACAGACCCAACAAACTGTCTGCTATTGACTTAGAAAAGCTTGCTTCACTTGTCCAGAATGACATGACATCCAGTAACAGTAATGACAGTGGTATACAGCATGATGTCAGTGTACACTCCAGTAACGAATCTTTGAAGGTAAATTTATTATTTAAATATCAAACAAATATAAAACTCTACTTAGGGAATATGTGAATGGTGAGGTCGTACTAAAAAATTATCAGTTTCTCAGGTCGAAGTTAAAAAAAGATCAATGAGTCTGGGAGGCTTCTTCACCAAAAAAGATTGCATCTTGTTTGCACATTTATCGTTATCATTATACTGCTTAATCACATAGGACATTAAATTATAAGCACTTTAAACTGTTTACAGATCTGCTTTTAACTGTTCCTGAACTGTGAATGCATTAATTCTTAGTATCCAAACTTCAAATCTTTTAAATGAAGTTTTAATCATAAATCTCATTGTTTAAAAACAAATGTCATCAAATGTTATATATCAGAGAATATGCCTCATGCTTTGAAAGTGTTTATCAATTATGAATTGTAATTAATCTGATTAGGTACCAGTTACATGTAAATATAGCACATATAAGGAAGTAAATGCGAAAAAAATCTCCAGTGATATTTTTATGATTCATTTGTATGAATTTTGATATACAAAATGTACATGTAAACATTTGAAATGTTCTTATAATGCGATATGTCAAATGAGATTTTATTGCAGTGACATAATTTTTTTTACAATTTTTACTGAAACATATTACATGTTAAACATTAGTTGCAATGTCAGACATCATTATTTCTTCATGGTGATCAAAGAATGTAGGACATATATCTGATGATATGTACAATTCTGAGGTAAGTCCTGTATATTGGAATGACTTAAGTGCTCTCAGCAGGATATATAAATAGACAAAATGCAGGTAGGTCTTTCAAAATGGAGAAGGAGTTTTGACAGGAAGTGAGAAAACGTGAGGCAAGTGAGAGTTGTGTGGAAGATTGAAGCTAAAGCAACGAATATTTGGACAAATGTAGATGGAGTTCAGTAATTAAAAGTTGAGTTCAATGATGATTAAGAGTTATGTGGAAGTTTGAAGTTGAAGCAGCGAACATTTGGAAGAATGTGGAAGGAGTTCAGTAATTGAAGAAAGTTGAGTTCAAGGAAGTGAAATATATGGAACAAACGCATGTTATTTATTTCCAGTGAAAGTTTGAGCAGCATTTTTGGTCTTTGTGTCCCTCTTTGCTTGAAAATTATAGTGTTATCTTTTTGAAATCTAATTTATAGTGTCATTCTAAACAAAAATACTGGTAGCCACCTTTCTAGTATTATCTTCCTTTTTTGTAATAAATATTCTTTCTATTTTATCTTTCCTATGAAAGTATAAATGTTATGAGAGTAACAAGCAGTGACTTTCACCAACTGGTATAATCTTACAACAAAATCTTTTAACGTTTTAAATGTTTTCATTTCATTATCTGTTGTAATAGCCTATGAGCATGCTGAATGCAATGTAAAGAAAGAAAAAAATGTATTCAACAATTTTTAGAAGACTAAAGGCCATCTAAAGTTTATATAAATCATTTTGATGGTCAGTGTATGATTTTGGAATGTATTTTATCTGATATGACACATGGGTTTTCAGAATCACTGTTTGATTTTGGAATGTATTTTATCTAGGATGATATATAGGTTTTGTTTCATATTTTGATGGAGGACATCAATGCTTGACCTCAATCAAGGTGATCATCATGGATAATGATTTGTTTATGTTAAGTTGATGTTGCTATCAGTAGATATTTGATGGTCAAGCCAGGGGGTTATAACTTCAAAGCTTACATGGATAACACCTGTAAAATATCATTGATACATATAATGCTTCATTAACTGTGCAATTTATGCCAGAACCATAAATCTGCATGGACATATGATATAAGTATAAGATACACCCATGATGGGTATCAGAATATTTGTTAATACATTAACAGGGGGAACAATGGCCTCAGCAACTCTGAAATAAAGATTGTCAGCTGTCAGAACAATTTTACACTAATTCGTAAACTGCATCTTGAGTAGAGAAAGAGGACACATTGAATTCACAAATTCCTAGAAAGACTTTTCTTCATTATACATAAAATAGAGTATGATATTACAGGATTTTCCGGTTCTAAAAATGTCAGCCACTCCATATTACATACCAAATATATTATGTTAGTAAAGTGTATGCCGCCTGTTAAACAGATTATATATACATTTGAGAACTTATTTACCAAACTTCAACTCCATTTATACTTGTGATTAATATAACAACACTTGTAATGTACATGTTGTATGCCAAAAATTACAAAATATGTATAATTTTACTATTTTAGATATATTCAAAAATACCTCACAAAGGGAGATGACCCTAGCACACAGTTATTTTTATAATTAGGAAATTAGGAAATTAGAGAATTTCTGTGTATTTTCCACAAAGGCCTTTAAAACTTTGATGTATTATTGGTAGTTAAATAAGATCTGGTTCTTCATAATGTTTATACTTTAGAATGTGATACTTATTTATTTTCTTTTTTTGTGGAACATCTGCAAAGGAAGAGTACAGAATTAGTCATACATGATACAGATCATAAAATTTTCTCTGATGCTCCAAATGATTAATTTTCATCTATAGTTTTATGTGTACAATCATTACAGTTCTCTACAGGGTAATACTTGAGTTTTTTAGATTTATTTTCACAGTTGCTTTGGAAAGGATGGGTAATTGTTTTGCATCAGGTCACACCAATGTTTCAAGATGGAGAATATATTGGATTTTTAGAATAATTTACCCTAATTTTCTGCAAAAATGAAACAAACCGGAAACAAAAACTAATCAAACTGCATCAAATCTATAAAAAAGTAATTATAAGCAAAGTTGTTGGTTCTTTTCAGTTCTCATACTGTACTTTCAAAGTTTTTGTTCTTCAATTTTTGTCTCGCCATGACAGAGTCAAAAAGTGAGACATAGGTATGCTGTTTCCGGCGGCGACAGCGTCAACAATGTATTAGTTTGTGATTAGGTCTAGTTTATAGTGAACCACAATTAGTAGGTCAATGATATTTGGTATACAGTTGTATTAGCATTGGCACATCTCATTTCCATGGAGATTATTTGGCCTTGCCCCCTCAGTCATGGTCTATTGACTTTGAAACTTTTGCTTAGTTTACATGTATTAGTTTGTGATTAGATCAGTTTAAAACAAGGAATTATTTGAATCTGGAATAATTTTGAATTCTGGAAAATTGATGAGAAATATATGATGAAAACTAACCCAACTAAATAGGGTTAGCCATGCGCACATGGCTAAGGTGGGTTAGTTAGTTCATACTGAAATGATAGTGAAAGTAAAATTAACCTTAGCCATGCACGCATGGCTAACCCTATTTAGTTGGGTTAGTTTTCATCATACATTTCTAATCAATTTTCCAGAATTCAAAATTATTCCAGATTCAAATAATTCCTTGTTTTAAGATGAACTGCTAATGTTAAGTGATATTTGGTTTGCAAATTTATTGGCGTTTGCAAGTATCGTTTCCATGGAGATTATATAGCCCACCCCTCATCATGGTTCATTGACTTTGAAACTTTTACATAGTTTGCAAGTTAATGTTTGTGTTTAGGTTTGTTTAAAGGGAATGACTTATAAAAAGTAAATGGGTATTTGGTATGCAGTTGTATTAGCATTGGCACATCTCATTTCCATGGAGATTATTTAGCCATGTACCTTCAGTCATGGTTCATTGACTTTGAATATTTGCGTAACTTAAAGTATTGCTATTTTAATTTCAACGTTTGCATTATCAATATTACAAAAAGGCGAGACATATCTCTGTGATGACAGTTTATTTATTTTTTATAATGCATTTTCAAATTTACCTTTAAATGTAAAAGCATATCTTTCTTTTAACTTTTCTTCAAAATTTCTTGTAATTGTTATTAAGATTAACTAAAATGTAAAAGCAAATTCTTCATTTAACTCTTTCTTCAAAATTTCTTTTATTTCTTATGAAAATTGACAAAAATGTAATAGCCTATCCTTCCTTGTCAGATCTATTTCTTGGAAGGAGAATAAGAACTAACAAATGAATGTATTTAGCCTACTTCAAATGTAGAACATGTGTAGATCAATATCAGATTCTTTTTCTCTACTAGAGTAAAACATATTTCGTAATTTATCTTGCCTGTAAAACAGTGAAAAAGTCTTAGATTATCTGACAATGTGTATCTTGAAATTTTTCATCAGAAGATAATTATCTAAAGTCATGAAAGAAGAGCAGTACCTGATAAATGCATTAGTTGTAGATACATGTTTATATTCAGTTGGATAAATTGAAAATGAAAATGGGAGATAACTTTAAAATTTAAATTTATTTGCAGTTAAAACTTAAATTAATTTACATAAACTCCACCAAATAACTGCACCAATTTTGACATGATGAAAGTAGTGCTGTAATAATCCACAGCTGTTAGTCATTTGCATGAAATCAGTTTGTTAAGCTATCCAAATTTGTTCACAAGGCTCCACTGTATATGAGATCAAATACAAACAAAATGACTGCTTACAGACCATTATTTTTTGTAGCAATGTCTACCCTTCTACCTCATTTGGTCTCTGGTGGAGAGTTGTCTCATTGGCAATCATACCACATCTAATTTTTATATTAAGGTTGGTTTTGAAGTAAATGTCACCTTTTTGATGGGAATTTTGGAAATTGTAACTTTTTCCAAGTTTGTGTATATTTATTTTTAAGTACTCAATGTAAAATATGAAAATTTGTATGATATTAATTGGATTTTTTTAAAACAGGTCCATTTGGTGGAGAGTTACAATTAAATATGTAAAAAAGAAAAAAATAATGAACAAATATGAAACAAAGTATACATTCTAAGAAAAACAATGATGGCTTAATCATTTGGTCATGATCATACACCTTGCCTTGAAGATACTCATTACTTTCCTAAACTATTTGATGTTATTGTTAACATGTTCACATTTTAACCTTTAAAACATGCATCCTTTTTCAGTTTAAAGTGTTGTTTTTCTCGTTATAGTGTGAATTTTGTCACTTGAGGTTTCTCTGCACCTCCTCCTTACATATTGCCTCCAAAACTTTTCTTTTGGATTGATAAAACCTCCTTGGATTAAAAAAAGGACTAATAGTCATAAAAGTGATAATCAGAATATAATTATGATACATTTGTACTGATATAGGGATATATATCCTTAAGAAATATTAGTCAGACGACTTAAGAAATTTGGTTAAGAATCAGTTTGGTGAAAACGTTTTTGATATGATTATTTAGATTGACATAAGTTACCAGAATTCTCTGTGGAAATGGTGAAATTTTAGGAATATATTGATATTTTGTTTCATGTGAACGTATAATGTTGAATGTTAGAGCATTGACAGTTGTGATGGATTTCCTTGTGATTCTTGAAAACTCGTAGGTGTCCTTGAGTTTGATCAGGATTTGCCATTCCGGTTACTTGTACGGTTAAAAAATATACTTCCTCATATGATGAACAACTCTGTTAGAAGAGTTTATTTTTAATCAATGGAAAGGATGCAAAGTTATAAAAAAAGGAATACATGGAAATATTTAAGTTACACATTTTTTGGGTGTGAAAACTGCAATTATCCATGGAACTAAATAAATATTAAATAGTGTTTCTGGAAGAAAATCTTTTTGATTTGTATCAAATTACACTTATTGATAAATGCAGCTATTTTGTTTTTAAAGGAAATAACATATATTTTGATTCATTTCCTATTCCATTTCATTGAAGTCAGAATTGCTGCAATTTGCATGGTAAAAATTGAGAATCCAATTTTTAAATGTTACCATTGATGTGATTATAAGTTCCAAATATAATGACTGTTCAAATGTTCTGGAATTGTTTAAAGAAAATTCACAAGGCAGATAGTTACAGTTGCAAATGTGTACCATCAAAATTGAGTCCACTGGGGATTACACAGATTAATAAATTTTGTGACTGTGGACTTGCGGACATAGCTCGGGCAAGTCCTGTGATTCATAAAATAAGGACAATCCCAGTTCTTGATATTGACAATTGTTCAGATTCATCAGATGATGAGGTAAGTCATACCAGAAAATAGTCAGATTTTGGATTTTTACCATGGTTCAAGGCTTGTGTAGTGAACTATCAGGTATGTTCAAGGGAAATAAGCAACTTTTTTTCACACAAAATACTAATGATTTAAAGTGATCACTAGTTATACTGAAATGTTTTTATTACTTGAAATATGTAGTGGAAAGGGCCACTGATGTGAATTTTTTTTCTTTTTGCATTTGTTGGTGGGGGTAATTGGAAGGATTGTGTATGAAGAAACCAGTATGTCAAGCCATGTCTAGCTTAGAACTTTAAATACATTTAAGGATAAAGAGGATACTTGATATCATGGTTTATCACCAACAGAGTGTGTGTCACAAAGTTTGCATTTTTTTTTCGGTATCATCAAATTCAGAAACTTCTTTAAACTTTACATACCACATAAAGAAGTTTCTGAATTTGATGATACAGAAAAAAAAATGCAAAACTATTTATAAATAATAATACTTTACAATAGCAGGAAGAAAACATGTACAGCTCAAGTTCTATCAGATTGTCAGGTCAAAGCCTGAACTAGGGTAATTATAAATGAATTCTGGTGAAAACAGGTCAAGTTTTGAGTTGTTTTTGTAGGAAAAGTAGGATGCTATAGTACAGTAATGTCATATGCAGCGATGCCTATATTATGATAACCTTATCATGAGATTTCAATTCAAAACAAAGTTTTTTTCCTGCTATTGTAAAGTATTATTATTTATAAATAGTTTCTTTATTATATAAAGTTGAGCACAAAAGGCATTAAAGACAAGCAACCAGCATGTAGAAAAAAGATTCATGCCAAGGATCCTATTGCTGTTAGATTTTTATTAATTTGCCAACAACTATTTCCTCTCCTGGTATGTTTTGATGCTGTGATTTTCTCTGGAGAACTAATTAGTTTAATAAGTGTTATTGTGTTTTGGTATCTTGCAGAAAATTGATGAGGTTTGGCAGAGGATCTAGCAGTTGTAGGTTAATTATCACTAACAACCTTAATCGTCTGCAGAATGTTAAGTAAATTTTCATTTGTTGTTCAGCTCTGGTGGTGACTGGAATTTCCTTTCTTTTTGGGCAGCATATCAAATAGATAACTTTTTGACCATAAATTTAAAACAAGTTTAAACCATTGATTGCTTTCATAGCTCTGTAGGAGCTTTTTTTTTCTAAAATTTGGTCTTATTTTTCATTTCTGTTTGTTTTTCATATTTCAAATTCTTTCTCAAAAAAAAATTTCCCTAGACCAGTTGTTTCTTTTTTGTTAATGCAAATGTGGTTTGCTCTTTTCAGTTCTTTTTTGTACGAATATTAGTTTTGACTTTAGGATGTTTTGCCTTTCTTTTTTTTTTTTGGTCGTTCCAACTCATGAAAATGGTTTACCCTGTCTGATGACTTCCCACAATTTTTATGCTCATTGGAAAAGTATGTCAGTCTGTCTACTACATCATCATGTGACAATCATTAAAACAAACGATTCTGACTCTTTTCTTGTGAGATTTGACACTCTTCCACTCTGAACATTTAATTTCAAATATTCAAAAACAGCAGTCAAGCTTAACTGTTTTAAACATTTAACTGTCTTGAGTGGAGTAATACTGCATCTTGAATCACATCACACAAGATGCAGGAGTAAAAGGAGTAGGTTCAGTAAGACCCCTTTTTGGCCCCAAAATATAGCAGTTTTACAAAATTGTTAAAATGTAAACTTTTAGCTATTCATTGGAAAGTAGAATACTTCTGTTACATACATATGGGCTGTTTTTGATGATATAATGCATATTTATCGGGTACTAGCATCATTAAGTCATGCTAAATTACTAAAATCTTCATAATTTTAGCATTTGAGTTAATTTTTAGACGGTTTCCGTCTTAAGTGGACGTGGCCACATTTGTGTTCATTCTTAATATTTAAATTTAAGTTGTATTTGATGATAATACATAACATATATAAAGGTTGAGGATGAACACGGATGCAGCCACGTTCATTTTTGACAAAAACTATCACAAAAGTGACATATTATGGCATATTTGATAGATTTATAACATTTAAGCTTGAATAAGAGCGTTTTAATGACTAAATCAGTTCAAATCTTTCACATAAATAAATTGATTCTACTAAAGTAGACACTTAAGTGTTTAAAAAGTGTCCAAAATCTTTCATCAGATGAACCTGAAATTTGGGGCCAAAATCGGCCCTTACCGGACCTACTCCTTTATGTTTGTACAACATACTGTATATGTACGAGATTATTTTCAAATGTTCTGGTCTTGTAAAAGTCCTTAATTTTTTATTCATTATACATTAAAAATCTTTTTATCATTCTAAATCACCACAACAGTTTACTCTGAAAATATACTTGTTGTTTTTTTTTGGTCAGCAACTATAACAGACATTTTTTGGGGAAAATGTCATTTATTATTCAAACCAAATGCAGCGTGTATTCCTGTCAATTCTGAAAATAGATCAAATGTGTAGTCTAACAGTCAGGCAGTCCTTGTGCAATCCAGTGGCAGGCTAGATGTATGTTGATTACATATTATTTCTCCTTTTATTTCAGGCAAATACAGACAGTTCAAATGTAACAAGGAGAAGAAAGTCTCCATCACCAAGACCAGAAAGACCAAAATCAGAAATCAGTGTAAGATGGGCCGACCTTGTAGAGACTACCGACATATCTCCCGTCAAACGGAGGGAGAGTGGAGAAAATCGACCAAGACCAAAGTCAGATTTAGGTAAGGATTTTAGCATGTTTGATTGAGAATGTTGGTGACTGGGACACACAACGGCATGAGAAACTTTTCACAGAGAATGTTGCAAGTGTCTTGTATAAAAAATTTGTCTCTATGGGAATTTTGTTTGCAAACAGCTCACAATAGTGTTATTTGATTATTGCTGAATTGACACTTTTTTTTTACTTACTTGTAATGAAATGGTTATTTGTATTTAACTTTGATTGACACTATAGACTTGAACTATGTTTTGATACAAAAGGACATCAAAATTCTTCTGTTGAATTCTGTTGCTGCAATACATCAAATCAGAAACACACAAACCATTCAAAATTCTTCAGATCAGCGAAACTACTATTCATAGTAATGAAGATTTAACACTTTTTTTTTTGGGGGGGGGGGGGGGTGATTTTTTTCACATTGTATATGAAATAAAAGTGTTCAGTTAGCTTGTCTAATTGAAAGTTTAATCGGATATTAGTTAATTTGTGCCCATATATTTTCCCCAAAAAGAACCATGAAGAAACTAGAGAAAAAAAGGGTTAGAATTTAAATTTCCAGTATTAGATCAGCTGACTATACATTTACTGTCACATATGACCTTTTTTGTAAATAAAAAGTGAGATAAATGTTTACACAATTTACTGATTTCTTTCAGAGGATAATTTACAACTTTTTGATGAAATGTATGAGGATATCTTTGACGACTTTGGTTATTTTACAGGTATCACAAAATTATTGTGGCATGGATTTTTTTTATAGTTGCCTCCCTTTGTATTTGTATACACAATTTTGCTTCTTTCCATTATATTGATGTTGTAAATCATATATATTTTACTTATTTGGTCTTGGAATAACTGTTTTTTATTGAAAATATTATTATTTTTTTTTTATCTTGAACATTGTGAGAAATAATAGTAGGTATTTATCTACAAGGTCAATACATACATGTGTACATCTAGCAGGAGTCATAAATCTTGATGATATTTAGAGGGCTTGTTTTGAAAAGTGCAAATTTGCAGCTGAAAAGTGACAGCTAACGTGCTGCTTTTATATAGAATTGGTTTTAACCTAATTTGCTAATTTTCAGAATTGGTTCATGCATTTGTTGTTGTAAAAAACTTCAACATATGACAATAAATTCAATAATACAAGATTAATTAAGGGCTGTTCAAGAATTAAACGCAAAAGGGAATAGGAGGCACTATGTTTAGACCCCAACAAACCACTCATAATATAAAATGTTCATCTAACTAATAATTCTTACAAAATTCTATATATTAGTACTTTTCTCAAATTTATTAAAACATCACATTGGTTTTTGAATTTACAAAAAATTTGAATCTAAAATATTTTTTGAAGGATTATCCCTACTGTAATTATGAATGAGAGTTTTTATTATTGCGAACCTGATAATGTGGCATTTTTTCGCATTGTTAAAAACAAAGCAATAGTTCCAGAATTTACTGTTTACATTGTACAAAGTTTAGAACTTGGGATATTCTGAGAACCCATCACTGGAACTGGAAAAGTATGGCAAATGGAGTGGTGAAATAAAATCATTTGGCATCATATTCAGTCAAAATCATGATTTGGGCTGGTAGTTCTATTCATTGAAAACACAGTTTGAGAGGAAGAAAACTTATAGTTTCAATCTAATACTTCATCTCCTTATGACACTCATTAAATTCAAGTTTAGACTCAAACATAAAAAAAAACATGTAACTTTAGATAGCCTGAGAGTTGTTACACAAATCAATTGAAATTGAATTTATTTAAAACATAACTTGGTTCTAAATCTGAGTAAAGTGTATCCACTTTATTTTTATTTAATTTATTTTACATTAACCTCTTAACCAAAATATTATATATATGCATGCAAACATGCTTTTATACATAAAAACATCTATATTAACGTATTTATTAGTATAAAGATTTCTTTAATGAATTGATACATTTGTTTTTACTTTCATAATACCAAATTATGATTACATTGGGATGAGGGAAAGGGGGAGGGGGTCCGTGGTAGTCGAGTGGTCTAAGTTGTTCAATCAACTTCATCTACATTGGTCACTTGCCAGTCAACACTGAGGTAGTGAGTTAGTGCCCCTGTTGTGGCAGGTGCGTTCAACTATCATCTTTGACTAGGAATTCCAGTTTTCCTGCTGTAGGTCATGGTTTTTTCTGTGTCCCCTTGCTTTCCCCACCTATAAAAACTGGCTGCCACTATATAGCCAAGTGTGCTGAAATCAAATCAAAATGTGTATCGAAACTTGCAGATGTCATTAATAGGACCTATAATATCATTTTAAACACTCTATTCCCATTTTTTTAGGTGAATTATAATCTAATTTTGTTGTAAATGTTATTGTCAAGGGTAAAAGTGCATTCATGCTCCCAAAAGAATTTGAGGCTAAATCGGCTTTGGAACTGTAAGAATATTCAGCTTTGTATTTGATATATTCTTTAAATCTTTTCTTGGCTTAAAATTGATAAATTTGATCACGTTAGATTTTTATTGAAATAATGCATAGCCTTATACTTTGTATCAGACAAAGGTGATTTAGTTACTTTATTCAGATTTTGAAATTTCAGTACAAAATAATTTGATAACTTAAATAAAAATATTAATATTATGACAATTTATTACATAAAGACCTGACTTATCATTTTGATTGTAGTATTTAGATGTAATAAACATAGGAAATTAATCAAACCTTGCCAAAAAAAAAACACAAGTCATTTTGATAGATATATCTATATACATGTATGAAAAAGGATAACAAAATGTCGGTAGATGATTTTTTTGGATTTCTGTATGAAGAAGGTGTAGAACTTTTCATATTTTAATCTGAAGCATTGTTCATAATTAACAATGTTTTCATTGATTTGATTCTTAGATTTTTAAGGAATGAAGGAAAAGATAAAACTATGAAATCATGTCAGCAATATTTGACTATAAGTGGTAGCCACAAAATTACAAAAGAATCTGCATCATTATCAGCACAAATTGTTGTTAATTTCAAACACTAAAATCTGTTCTGCATAAAGTTGTTAGTCTCATGGTCTTATTTCCATAGATTAAAAGTTATGGCATAAAAGTTTAATACTATGAAGGCAGCACAAGGTGTTTTATTTTTGACTAACATCTGTTCGGCTTGAGATAGGCAGTAGGTATGATCAGGGTTGTAGTGGTTTGAAATATACCACATTGTGAAAGAAAAACAATATATTTTTTGTTCTCTTCATTGAAACATATGTTATTAGGTGGATTGCTTGCTAGCTTAAAGTTTATTGGCAAATATTGTTTTATATTAGGTTGATTGTGGAAGGGTATAGAAGTGATAAACATGGACTTATAAACGATGAATTTTTTGATATATTTTAAAATCTCACACATACTATCAATCTTATGGAATAATATTATTTGAAATAAAGCAGTGTTATGCCTAGTATTTTCTAATAGCACCATGGGATTTGAAAAAAGGATTGTTTTCCCTAATGTTAAAGAACCACATTTATAAAACATTATACACATGTATTACAAATTCTATTCAGATGGCAAAACATATAACAATATGGTACCATGGTTCTACTATGCCCTATGAGAATGATGTACAAAGTATAAGTAGAGGGTCAAATCATATAGTATATTGTATGTTAGGCAGGTCATAAGGAAGGTCAAAATTATGATGAGTTCTGTAGGTCAGCAGTTTGAAAGGTTTTGTCTATGTACATGTACCACAATTATCACTTATGTTTGTTTCTTTATTTATCACAATCTACATTTTTCACATGAGATAACAAGTTAAAAATAGGATGTTGTTGTTTGTAAATTGTCGTATACGTCATGAATATTCACTCCTACCACCAGCCTTCGTAAGGCAGATCATTCATTCAATGTGTCAGTTTAGGACAAAATTTAGATAATGTCACATTTTCATAAAAATTTTATAAACAGTCTTAGAACATAACAGATTGGGAATTAATTTACAAATATTTAATTATAGTTTGTAACGAAAAAATGAATAAATATAAAAAAAGAGAGAGAAAATTAAAAACTTTTAGGAAAACCACAACCATTTTTTTATGGCCACATGTTCACCTGACCATGAAAATGTCTTTTTTTACCTATCTGTCAAACATATTTGTCTTAACCTCAGTCATCAATATACTTACAACTTTCGTCATTACTATGTAGGAATTCTAATGAAATGTGCCGAAACAAAATGAAAGGATTTTTTCACAGAAAAAAGTATGATTTTAAAATGAAATTGAAATTTTCTAAGGATTTTTTACCAGGAGTTTTCAGAATGAAAAAGGACATTTATAGTTTTCTTGGTGAGTTTTTGTACAAAATTTGAGGAAGTCAAGGTTTAGCATTCAGCAACATAGCATTGAAGAATGTGTGTGGTTTTTTTTCAGCGTCACAATATTTTATTTTTTTCTACTTCTAGGCATTTTGTGTCCTACCACTTATAATCAAACTTTTTTATTTGATTTCTGTTTTCCATTTCTATTACCCACTTTATAGATACCTCTTTACACATAGTGTTTGCATAAGAGCTAACACTATCACTCTGACTTCAAAGGCTTCATTCACTCTGAAGAGTAAAAAATATGAGAAAATTCAACGAGCCAGTCAAATATTATTAGTTTAAGAGGTCAGAAGAAAAATTATGTATAGACAAAGCATAGTATAAGATAAGATAAATTTTATTTCCAATAGAGGATCCATTATGGGCATAATCAGTACAGTAATTTTTTTTTATATTAAACAATTGCAATATAGACAATACACAAGAAAAAACAACTCAAACATGAAATATAAATTGAGTTAATAATATTTAGTATATAAAACATCACACAGAAACTAAAGATTGACATGAACATAAAATCCACCAAACCAGGGATTAACCCAGGTGCTTTGTTTAACAGTAAGTTTTTGTCCCAGAGGTAATCTGTTCTATTGTAATACAGCCAAATATAAGTTGTTTCTCCTTTGATAGAATATCATCTTTTGAGATAGGGATTGCTGTTTGATGTATAAAACATATTCAGAAAGTCTTGCACACACTTTGTATTTTTAATTCCTTTTCCATGTTAAGACTGTTAAAAAAAATTTCTGCATGTACAAAACAATTCTTAATTTTCTTCTGGTCTGTAAAAAAAGAGTAGATTCAAGAATGTCTTGTATTCCATGAAAAGTCAGCTCATTATATAAATTAAGAGAAAGATAATTGTAAATACAAAAAATAAGAAGTTTTGTCACATTGAATCAGCTGTTAATGTTTTACTGGGATTGCAATCTGATGAGAAAAATGTCAAGTTTGACAGATATGGACTTTAATTCTGACGGCTTTGTTTTCCACATGTGTAGGGCATTATATATTTTATGAGGATATATATCTTGACAATATGCACCTTTTTATAGCAAATCCAAAGGTGTTGCAGACTATTTCAAATAGAAAACAGATCTTTAAAATGTATTAAAACAGCAAATTAAGCTAAAAACTGGAATGATATCAAATTATGGATGCTAGCAATGGTGTTTAAAGCAGTAAAATGATTGGTGCATTAAAGTATCTTTCAGAATGTAAATGTTGCTTTTTTGCATGAATATGATATGCTGTAAATTTAAGGATGTTTTGTTATGTTTTTATTATTGCTTAAATATGACAGGATTTAGTATTGCATCAATTCCAACTACCATTTAAAATTTTG